GAAGGGGAGTAGTAACACACACACACACACACACACACACACACAATTTGTGTTCTATTACATGGCTGTGTGCATGTAAGTTAGAATGGAAGCTTCTTGAGGGCAGGGACAGTGTCATCCTTTGTCTTTGTATCCTCAGCACCTGGCATGGCTCTCTCTGCCAAATTGCCCCCAGCTTGAGCAGAAACAGGGTTATACCTGGAACATAGTGTGTGCTTAATAAATAAAAGCTTGCTGATTGATTCTGTGTCTCGGAAAACTCCTGTTTAAGAACCCTGTCTGCCATCCAGGCCATTGGACATGTTGGCTCATCGTAGGATGTCCTGAATGCATCTCTGTCTGGGGTAGGAGGTGGGGGATGGTCTTCTCATTCCTCTGGATCAATGAGTGACTAGGAAGGGGAGGGTAGAATTTTTTTAAAGGTTTATTGATGTGTTTTGATTTCACTTTAAAAACGTTTATAGAGAACTCCCATTCCTTGAGAGTAACAAAGTAAAACAATGAAATAAAACTAATAATAAAGTGACTTCATCTGAAAGTACATGAAACATACCACATCCGTAGCATCCCTCCCACCTCTGTATTTTAAAAAGATTTTTAATAAAGAGAAATCTATTTTCTCTCCCTCTCACTCCCCCCACCCCATTGAAAAAAGAAAAATAAATTATTCAGAAATTTAAAAATTATTTTTAAAAAGAAATTTAAAATTTTTTAAAAGGAAAAAATATTAAATTTGCATAGGCAAGCAAAACATTCCCTCCTTAGCTGTACAGAAAAATCCCAGTCTCATTCTGCATCTTACATCTCTCTCCTGGGTGTCGGGAGGGCAGAATGTGCAGGAGAGAAGTGGGAGTCTGCTGGGCAAAGAGCAGGCAGGGCATGGGAGATGTGCACACAAGGGACACCTCCTTTATCCAGTTATCGTTGGGGATGGCTGCCAGCAAGCTGATCCTCGATCAATCAGTAGACAGCAAGCACTTTATTTTATTTTATTTTTTTAATTTTATTTTCTTAGGCAATTGGGGTTAAGTGACTTGCCCAGGGTCACACATCAACGAGCATTTATTAAGCACCTACTTTGTGTCAGTCAATGGCCGGGGCATTTGAACTCTGTGAGCCTCAGTTTCCTCATCTGCAGACTGGACACAATACTTGCATGACCTACCCCCAGGGCTGTCATGAAGGAGTAGCTTAGTAAACTTGGGAAGTCTGTGGTGATGTGACTTATTACAGCTGTTGTAGCTGCTGTCAGAAGGATTTCTGTGGAAGTGAATTTTCCAGACAACTGGAATTTGGAACTCTCAGTAATAAGTTTTCTAATATTAAGCATTTTGGGTGTCAGTATATCTAGAATTCCTTGAGAATTCCTTTGGGATCATGCTCTAGAATTCTTTTGAGAGGTACAGAAAAGTTTGTCCCTAAACTGAATGGCCTTAGGCCACTAGTTCTTCTGTCTGCTTTTTTTAGGTCCTCTGTCTGCTTTCTCCAGGCTCAGCTGTCAGCTCTCCTTACTGTCAGTGAGCTCCAGTGCTCAGCTGAGTGATTGACGGGTGAAAGCTTCAGGAATCTTCTGTGAAATAAACACATGGGCTTTGTGACTGTTCAGAAGCATTCTGTTGACTACTCTCTTCTTGTGGTATTTTGGATAGTTGAAGATGCCAGAAGTTTGACCTCATGATAAGGTAGATGGAAGGAGAGATGTGAGCATACTATAGATCCTCCTGTTCATATCACATAGGTATTTCTGTTGAACATATGTGAATGCGCATTATAAATCTAAATGGCATGATGAGCAGGATGGTTTCAGAAAAGCCTGGGAAGACTTGTATGAACTGATGCAAAGTGAAGTGAGCAGAACCAGGAGAACATCGTACAGAGTAAGAGCAACATTGTGCAATGATCAACTGTGAATTCTGAAGGACTTAGGATGAAAAATGCTCTCTACCTCCAGAGAAAGAACTAATGGAGTCTGAATGCAGATCGAAGCCTACTTTTTTGTTTTCTTTATTTTTCTTGCTTTTTTTTTGTGTATGTTTTCTTTTGCAACATGGCTGATGTGGAAATATGCTTTGCATGATTGCATATGTATAACCTACATCAAATTGCTTGCCTTCTCAAGGAGGGAGGAGGAGAGGGAGAGAATTTAGAATTCAAAATTTTGAAAAATGAATGTTAAAAAATTTTACATGTAATTGAGAAATATTTAATGAAATAAATAAAAACTATATTGGGGGTGGGGTGGGGTGGGGTGGGGATGGTGGAAGAAATCTAAGTGGCAATGGAAATTGGTTCCCTATTGTGTTTCTAGCCTTGATTAGGGCTCGAATCAGTCACGTCCTCTCTGTAGAGTTTTCCGCTTTCACTTGAGTTCATATCCTGTCTCTGATGTTTACTGCTGGTGTGACCTCATGTGATTTCACTACTCAGGGCCTCAGTTTCCTCAACTCTAAAAATAAGGAGGTCAGACTAGATGGGCACGAGGGTTCCTCCAGCTCTGACCCTTCCCCTGGGTTATTGTCAGCAAATCCTTAAAAAACCACAGTTCCTTCTTCTGGGGATTCTGGGAATGAAAAAAGGGGGAAACAGCAGTTAGCTCTATGGGCTCAGCAGGACAGAGTTGCAGGAAGCCCTGGCCCAGAGGGTAGAACTAGCATCAACAGGTGTAGTTGGCAGAGAGGCAGATTTGAGCTTTAGGTTAAAAAAATTTAAAAAAAAAAGAGAAAAACCCTCCCCAAATTAGGGCTGAAATGGGATTCCTTATAAGGTAGTGAGTTCCCCATCTCTGGAGGTCTTCAAGGAGAACCTAGATGGGTGGGGAGTGAGTTTTCCATGTCTAGCAGTGTTCAAGGAGGGAGTAGATGGCCATGGTTGGTAACATTTTGGTGAGAGATTCTTGCTTAGGCATGGGTGGGAGGCAATTTGAAGTGTAAAGAATGCTGGATTTGGACTCTGGACCAAATTCTGGGTTCAAATTCCAGCTCTGTGTGACTGTGGGTAAATTGCTTCACTTTCCTGGGCCTGAATTTCCTCATCTCTAAAATGCAGGGGTTAGAAGATATGACCTTTGAGGCCAGCTCTAAATCTATGAGGCTGGGATCCTGGAATGGTCTTGGAGGTCCCTTCTACCTCTCCGATGCTAGGGTTCTAGACTTGGTCAGTCATGGGAATGAGAGAAGACTGCTGGAGGAAAGCAGTGGCCATGATGGTGGGGGAATCATAGAAAGAGGAGCATGGAAAGGCAGAAGTGATCCTTGGGAACCCTCCAGGAGTGGGAGCTTAATGGGGAAGGTGCAGGATGGGCAGCACGATGACACGTGGGTGTAGATTGGAAGGACTGAAAGAAGGTGCCAGGCTAGACCCAGAGTGGCCAGTCCCCAGAGAGACTTCGTTTAATGGAACTGATGGGCAGGGGATAATAGGAGGAGGAGAAATGAGGGAAGAGAGGAGGGCAGGACACTTGTGTCCACCATTGTCCTTTGCCAGAAGATGAGGAGACCGATGGTCTGAAGGAGGATCCTGCTGGACAGCCTAGGTTTGGAGCTGGCAAGGATCCAGGAAACTAGCTAGCCCAACCCTCTCACTGACAGTCGAGGAAAGTGGGATGACATGGCCAAGGTCCTGCTGGAAGCGAGGGGCAGAGCCAGGATCTGGACCCGTCTTGTACAGTGCATAGGCTGGTAGCTCTTGAGTTGGAAGGGATCTCAGACACCATCTTGTCTAATTCTCTCATTTTACAAAGAGGGAAACTGAGGTCAGTTTCCCAGTCACACACATTCAGATTGTCAAATCCAGGAGTTAAGGGGCAGCTAGGTGGTGTAGTAGATAGAGCACTGGCCCTAGAGTCAGGAAGACCTGAGTTCAAATCTGGACCTCAGACATTTCACAATTACTAGCTGTGTGACCCTGGGCAAGTCACTTAACCCCAATTGCCTCACAAAACAAACAAACAAACAAATCAAATCCAGGAGTTAAGCCCAGGTGCCTTGACTCAAGAACCAGGGCTCTTCCCACTGTACCTTGCTGCCTGCCCATGCACCTCTGGGTGAATGTCAGCTCAGCCAGGTCCTACCTGTGGACCTGGACAAGTCATTTCCCTTCCCAAAAACTCAGTCTCCTCATCTTCCAAATGGGGATAATTATAGCATCAGCATTGAATGGGTTATTGTGAAGCTCAAATGCAATTTTTAAAATTTGTGATTGGACTTTTGATTTGAAATATGATTTAATTTCTCTTGAGTGAGAAAATGCCCAGAAGCCTATTTGCAAACGTTCACATGCTCCCAAAACATTCCTTTCCCCCTGTTCCAGCATTGAGCAGAACTGGGTACAGAGTGGGGCAAAAAGGACTTAATTTATTGATCATTTTATCCACACTGTCCCATCTTTCTTTCTTTCTTTTTCTTTCTTTCTTTCTTTCTTTCTTTCTTTCTTTCTTTCTTTCTTTCTTTCTTTCTTTCTTTCTTTCTTTCTTTCTTTCTTTCTTTCTTTCTTTCTTCCTTCCTTCCTTTTCCTTCCTTCTTCCTTCTTCCTCTCCTTTTCCTTCTTCCTCCTTCCTTTCTTTTTCTTTCTTTTTTCTTTCTTTCTTTCTTCTTCTTTCTTTCTCTTTTTTCTTCTTTCTTTCTTTCTTTTTTTCTTTCTTTCTCCTCTCTCTCTCTCTCTCTCTCTCTCTCTCTCTCTCTCTCTCTCTCTCTCTCTCTCTCTCTCTCTCTCTTTCCTTCTTTCTTTATTTCTTTTTCTTTCTCTATCCAAGGAAACCCTGCCTGCAAAGTCAATGGCTCCTCTGTCCTCAGGAATACAGACTGATCTATTCCCATGTCATACCCTCTCTGCCTGCCTCCTTCCCCTAGACAGTGTTGAGTCAGGGTTTGGTCTTTTGAGAAGGGAGTTCCTTCAGGACCTCAGCAGGAGCTTGGGATGTGGCCCCTTCCCTTAGGGCAGTAGGCCCTCCCCACCCTACTCTCACCCCCCTTCACAGGACAGGGGCCATGGAACTGTCTCAGTTTGGGGGCCCCTGGAGGGGCCAGCTCCTAGATGAAGCGTTTGTCCTTCTCAGCGTAGGTGAAAGGGTCCCCAGGGAAAGGCTGGAGGGGAGGTTGGTTGTACAGGCCCTGTAGGAGGATCCAGGCAGTACCCAGGGTCATTAGCGGGGTCACCACAAAGAGGCAGAGGCGATCCACGGTGCGGGCCACTCGACCCCAGCTGTCCTTTTCCTGGGAGACGACAGCCAATTGATAAGTGTTCATTGAGACCCTTGCCCTTCCCCTCCCCACCACATGCTAAGCTAAGGGAACCCAAAGGCAGCAGTGAGACAGAACCTAGACAAGCCCCAGAGCCCTTCTCAAGGACTCAAGGACTAAGGAATGGGTGGAACAGTCCTCATGAAAGACTCTCAACCTTTCTGCCTTCGTGACCATACCTGCCTTCTAAAACACTGTCATCTCTGTGACCTGCCATCTGGCTTCCATTCCTCGAACTCTACTGAAGAGACTGCTGAAGCCATTTGGCGCGTGCGCGCACACACACACCACACACACACACACACACACACACACACACACACATTTTACAGATTAGGAAATGGAGCCTTAACGCAATAAGGTGACTCCATAGGATGATATATAGGATCATAGATTTTGAGCTGGAAGGGACCTTAGAGGTCATCTAGCCTAACTCTTCCATTTTACAGATAAGGAAACTGAGGCCAGGAGAGGTGAAGAGGCTCGCTCACCCAAGGATATAGGTAATAAATGGCAGAGCTAAGATTTGAACTCAGGTCCTCTGACTGCTGCCCCACCATCCCATGCTGCCTCCTCAGATGTTCTCTAGCATTCTGTCCCTGGTACTCTTCTGACACTCTCCACCTTAGCAGCCTAATGCAGTCCACGCCTCCATTAAAGCTCTGTGCTGCCGACTCCCGAATCCTCCTCTCCCTCTCTGATGTGTCTATTCCTCTCAGATCTGTTGTATTTGGTTTCAGAAGGTTTGGGTTCAAATCCCCAGGTTTGCTGCCTCTTCTTGTATGACCTTGATGCCTTCCCCTCTGGGCCCAGCTTTAATGAGTGAGGTTGGCGTGATGGCTTCTAAGGTCACTTTAGTTCTAGAATTGTGAGTCTATGACTGTTTGACCTTAACTTCTCTGGGCCTCAGTTTCCTTCTCTGTAAAATATGGAGTTTGGATAGAGGAGTGGGAGAAGACCCTTGGCCAAATGTGTGAGAAGAGTATGGATAGGGCAAAGTTCCTGCGGCCAGTCCCTGCTGGTCTACATCTCCATGACAGTCTCAGCCTCTGACGTCCTATAAGTTCTGCCTAGCACCCTCTCTGTATCACCCATAGGGCAGCACTCTGATGATGACGATGGTCGGTGGAGTAGGGTAACCCAGATGCCTTCACAGTATCTTCACCCCATCCCCTCCCCATTCCATCCACACCTACCTCCAAGACATCGTTTGGGTTCCAGCCCTGGGGGCTAGAGAGAATTTAGGATTCCCCTGTCATCCCCAAGTGCAGCTGAGGGTGACCCTTGGCCTTGCAGCTCCATTCTATGCCAGTCACTGGGAGCGTGGGCCACTGAGCCAGCAGATCCCTTAAGTCATGGCGCCCAAGCCTTCTCCCTTGCCCTCTCCAGCCTGAGAGGCCTTGCCATGCCCCCTCACCTCATTGTAGTTGTTCTGATCTCTCATGTGGTTGACAATGAAGTTGGCCCCATCCACGGCTGGCTTTATCTCATTCAAGAGCTCTTGCTGGGACTCTTCAGACCCTGGTGGGGGCCGCCCTGCCAGGAGACATGAGCACAGGGGGCTCTGGAAGATGGTAGAATCAAAGGTCGGGTCCCCATCTGTCTGCCTTGCCCTGCATGGGTCCCCATCCCCAGCCCGGCCACTCACGAGCGGGAGTGACCCGGCTGGCAAGCCCGTGCCTCTCTGATTGCTTCTCAAACATGAGATCACTGCGGGACTTGACTGTGAAGTACTCCTCAGCTTTGGAGATGTAGCCCAGAGAGCTGCTGCGGCGAATCTGAGAGCCCAGCACTGGTGCAGCTTCTGGCTGGGACATGTGCAGTATCCGGGGCAGGGTCTCCAGGAACATCTGGGGAAAAGAGAAAGGCCAGGTAGAGCCAGAGTGCTTCCTCTTCTCTCTGGACCACCCCACCTACCCACCCTCCCCATGGCCCCATGTGGCCACCTCTCCTTCATTTGCCGTCTCTCACGTCCTCCCTGCTTATGTGAGAGCCAATGGGGCAGGGCAGGGCAGCCAGGTAGCACAGTGGATAGAGTGCTGGGCCTGGGGCAGGAAGACCTGAGTTCAAATCTTGCTGCAGACACTTCCTAGCTGTGTGACTCTGGGCAAGTCACTTAGCCCTGTTTGCCTCAGTTTCCTCATCTGTAAAATGACCTGAAGAAGGAAATGGCAAAGCACTCCAGTATCTCTGCCAAGAAAACCCCAAATGGGGTCACTGAGAATTGGACACCAATGAAAAGGACTGAACAACTACAAAGGGGTCAGGAGATGGCCCATCGAGGTGGGCCACACCCTGTGCTGGGCCCTAGAGGATTAACAAGGCCAAAATGAAATAGCCACTGCCCTCAAGGAGCTTATGCTCTATTGGTTCATTCAACAAACATTTATTAAGCAGCCACTATGTGCCAGGTGAGAGGCAGAGAGGACTGTGTTCAAGTCCTGCCCCTGACAAGTCACTTCACCTTGTTCTAGGTGACTCTCAGTGGCTCTGAGTGGCAGAGCTAACATTCTCCTGGGCATGTAGTGACTGTGTGACCTTGGGAAAGTCACAGCCTCTCTGTACTTTAGCTCCTCATCTGCAAAGCAGAGAGAATTAAACACCAGCACTTCCTACCTCAAAGGATTGTGGTGCGAAAGGGGGCTCGTCACCTTGGGAGGGCTGTGAAGATGAGAGCCACAACAATAATAACTTGCATTTCTAAAGCACGTTGAAATTTTAAAGGGACTGTGAAATCCATATTATTACGCCTATTTAACAGACAGGAAAACTGATGCTCATAGAGGTTAAGTGCCTCTCTTCCCCCCCCCCTCCCCTCTCATCCCCCTTCCCCTCCTCTCTCCTCTCCCCTCCTCCCCTTCCTTTCCTTCCCTTTTTCTCCTCTTTTCTCCCCTCCTCCCCTCTCCTCCCCGCCTCCCCTCCCCTCCCGTCCCCTCCTCTCTTCTCCTTTTCTTCTCCTCTCTCCTTTCTTTTTCCATCCAGAGTCACCTCCCTATTATAGTTCTCTTGGGCCCTGGCTCTCCTTTCCTTCCTGCCCCACTCCTTACCCTCCAGATTTTTCCACCCCCCCCCCACTGTTATGTGATGTCTTCTTCCACTAGAATGTAAGCCCTTTGAGGGCAGGGACTGTCCTTTTTGCTTGTATTTGTATCTCCAGATCTTAGCACAGTGCCTGGCATACAGTAAGTGACTGTATGCCATCTGTCTGTCATCCATCCCACCTCTTCACCCACGCTAACGTTAACCATCTTTTCTCCTCCAGACTCACTTTCCTGACCCCCGGCGAGAGGACATGGGTGCTGGGTGTCCGATGGTGGATGTTCAGAGTGACCACACAAATGAGGACAATGATCGTAACCAGGACCATGCCAAAGAGGAGAAACCTGCCATGTAGAGAAATGGTCCTGAGCACCGAGCCCTGGGTCCTGAGTCCTGAGTCCTGAGCCCTGGGTCCTGAGTCCTGAACCCCCGAGCCCTGGGTCCTGGGTCCTGAGTCCTGGGTCCTGAGTCCTGAGCCCTGGGTCCTGATCCCCAAGCCCTGGGTCCTGGGTCCTGAGCCCCCCAGCCCCGGGTCCTGGGTCCTTAGTCCTGGGTCCTGAGTCCTGAGCCCTGGGTCCTGATCCCCCCAGCCCCGGGTCCTGGGTCCTTAGTCCTGAGTCCTGGGTCCTGAGTCCTGAACCCCCGAGCCCTGGGTCCTGGGTCCTGAGTCCTGAGCCCTGGGTCCTGAGCCCTGGGTCCTGATCCCCCAAGCCCTGGGTCCTGGGTCCTGAGCCCCCCAGCCCCGGGTCCTGGGTCCTTAGTCCTGGGTCCTGAGTCCTGAGCCCTGGGTCCTGATCCCCCCAGCCCCGGTCCTGGGTCCTTAGTCCTGAGTCCTGGGTCCTGAGTCCTGAACCCCGAGCCCTGGGTCCTGGGTCCTGAGTCCTGAGCCCTGGGTCCTGAGCCCTGGTCCTGATCCCCCAAGCCCTGGGTCCTGGTCCTGAGCCCCCCAGCCCCGGGTCCTGGGTCCTTAGTCCTGAGTCCTGGGTCCTGAGTCCTGAACCCCTGAGCCCTGGGTCCTGGGTCCTGAGTCCTGAGCCCTGGGTCCTGGGTCCTGGGTCCTGAGTCCTGAACCCCTGAGTCCTGGGTCCTGAGTCCTGGGTCCTGAGTCCTGAGCCCTGGGTCCTGGGTCCTGAGTCCTGAGCCCTGGATCCTGAGCCCTGGGTCCTGATCCCCCAAGCCCTGGGTCCTGGGTCCTGAGCCCCCCAGCCCCGGGTCCTGGGTCCTTAGTCCTGAGTCCTGGGTCCTGAGTCCTGAGTCCTGGGTCCTGAGTCCTGAACCCCTGAGCCCTGGGTCCTGGGTCCTGAGTCCTGAGCCCTGGGTCCTGGGTCCTGGGTCCTGAGTCCTGAGCCCTGGATCCTGAGCCCTGGGTCCTGATCCCCCAAGCCCTGGGTCCTGGGTCCTGAGCCCCCCAGCCCCCTGGGTCCTTTAGTCCTGAGTCCTGGGTCCTGAGTCCTGAGCCCTGGATCCTGAGCCCTGGGTCCTGATCCCCCAAGCCCTGGGTCCTGGGTCCTGAGCCCCCCAGCCCCGGGTCCTGGGTCCTTAGTCCTGAGTCCTGGGTCCTGAGTCCTGGGTCCTGAGTCCTGAGCCCTGGTCCTGGGTCCTGAGTCCTGAGCCTGGATCCTGAGCCCTGGGTCCTGATCCCCAAGCCCTGGGTCCTGGGTCCTGAGCCCCCCAGCCCCAGGTCCTGGGTCCTTAGTCCTGAGTCCTGAGTCCTGGGTCCTGAGTCCTGAACCCCTGAGCCCTGGGTCCTGATCCCCCCAGCCCCGGGTCCTGGGTCCTGAGTCCTGAGTCCTGAACCATGAGCCCTGGGTCCTGAGTCCTGAGCCCTCGCTCCTGAGCCCTGAGCCCTGAGTCCTAGGTCCTGGGTCCTGAACCAGGTCCTGAACCGGGTCCTGGGTCCTGAGTCCTGAGTCCTGAGCCCTGGGTCCTGAGCCCCAAGCCCTGAGTCCTGGGTCCAGTCACAAGGAAGGAGTGGAGAAGGGAGAAGAGCAGTGGGCAGTGGGCAGGGTCTTACTCACTTGCCAATGAGGGGGATGGCATGAGAAGTAGGGGGCAGCCGCTTGGAGATGAGCAGCAGGAAGACAGACTGGGCCAGCAGTACAGAGATGGTCACTGAGGTCTTCTCACCACCTGGGGAGAAGAATGGCCTTAGGCTGACCCCCTGACTTGTGTCCTTTAGCCCAGACCTCATCATCACTTCTGCTTAGGGCTCAGGGCTCCATCTCTAGCCCAGGTGCTCAGGTGGCCAGCTGTCCTCCTGGGGCTGTACTGATTTTTCTGGGCTTTTGGGAGAGAGGGTTATGATGGACCCAGAATGAGCATTGGATAGGGGGCTGGGCAGGGACAGAATGGTAACTGGGTGGCACAGTGCATATGAGCAATGGTGTCAGGAAAACCCAAGATCAAATCCTGCCTCAGACACTTACTAGCTTTTTGACCCTGGGCAAGTCACTTAATCTGTCTGCCTCAGTTTCCTCAAGTGTAAAATGCAGGTAATGTTAGCCTCTACCTTTCAAGGCTGTTGTGAGGATTAGTTGAGAGGACCATATGTAAAGGGCTACATAAACGCTCCCTATTATTTTTAGTCTTTTTCATCCACAGACCATTCCTGTGATCCCAGGAGCCTCTGGGAAGCCGCTTGCCCACTGAGAAGGTAGCTGCAGCAGAGGAGGGGAGGGTTCAGGACTAGGAAGGTCCTACTTGATGTCACAAGGAAGCAGTTTGGGGCTGGATAGAATCTAACACCTGGGAGGGTCACTTGGCCCATCCCAGTCATGGAGCCTTGGAGGCCTATGATGGCAATAAGTGGAACAATGGAAGGAGTGTTGGCTATCGGGCTCAGAGGGCTGGAGTTCAAATCCTGGCTCTGATGACCTAAGACAAGATACTCGCCCTCTCTGGGCCTCACTTTCCTCATCTGGAAAAGGAAAGGATTGATCCAGACAGGCTCCAAGGCCCCCTCCAGAGTTGGATATGTGATCCCAAGCTGTGGACAAGGCATTTCACCATTCTAGGCTCAGTTTCCTTCAAAGTAGACTGCGGGGACTGGACCAGATGGTCTCAAGGACCCCTAGATCTTGGATCCTGCCAACCTTGGGCATTGGATGGAAGGCCTCCCCAACATGGCACCACTGGCAAGACAACGGGGGAGCCTGAGAACCAGAGGGGGGCCGGGGGGGGCTGGGGGCTGGAGCCCCTCCCTCACTGTCGGCAGGCAGGTAGAAGGCCAGGTTGATCATGAAGGAGATGAGCACGCAGGGCACCAGGATATTGATGAAGTAGAACAGGGGCTTCCGGCGGATGATGAGGTAGAAGGTGACATCCTGGTAGCTGGAGCTCGCCATGGAGACGCTCTGATCGATGTTTTTCCGAGCAGGCCGGTGAACAATTTCCCACTCCCCATTTTCTGGAAGTGATACAGATATGCCAAGGGGCAAGGCCGGGAGGGTGGGGAGGCTTCTGCCTGGGGAGATGACTGGGTCCCTTGGGCCAAGGGGCAGGACTAGAGCAGGGAAGAAAAGGGGAGAACAGGAGCCATTTCTTGGGGTCTGGAGAGGACCGGTGGCTGCATACCTGTGAAGCCTTCGGGGTCAATGATAATCCACTCCACCGGGTAGGAGCGCCCAGTGACTTCATCTGTCTCCTGCTTCAGTTGCAAATTAATTTCTTTGGCTGTGTATGTCAGAGAGCTATGGGAGATGGAGGAAGAGGTCAGACCTAAGTGACTGCCCTGTAGTCCCTCCCAGAGCTGAGTGATCATTGGAAGTCTCCGTCCCTCCTCCTGGGCCTTGTCCCTTTCTACTTCCTTCACAGGCCTTTAAGGGCTCAACCTAGGCCCTAGAACCCTGCCTCTGGGGGTGTCTGGGTCCCTCCCCTGCCCTTGGGCCTTCTGGAGCCATGCTGCTCATTCCAGGGTTTGGAAGAGAGCTTCAGAACAAAGAAGGGCGTCAGGCAGAAATGGGAGTGGAGGAGCTGGTGTCTGGGGGTTGGAGGGCCCCAGTGTCCAACCTGAACTTGAGAGAACAGTTCTGCCAATCAAAGGGGAAGTAGGTGACAGTGATGGGGCAGGAAGACTGAAAGATGGCAGGTGGCAGCCAGTAGACCCAACCAGAGGGGTAGACGAGAATGTTGCAGGCATAGGAGATGCGGAAGGCGCCATCATTGCTGTGAGGGGGGAGGGAGACAAGAGTGGAGGTCACTGGCCTTGGGTAGGGTAGGGGTGGGGGGATGGAGTGGAGGTCACTGGCCTCAGATTGGGTGAGGTGGGGGGTTGGAGTGGAGGTCACTGGCCTCAGATGGGGTTGGGGTGGGGGGATGGAGTAGAGGTCACTGGCCTCAGATGGGGTGGGGGGTGGAGGCCAGGCTGATGCAGCTGGGCACCAGGAGGACAGAAGAGCCCCTGCGGGGGACAACGGCCCTAAGGTTTGCCAAATATTCTCCATGGATGCTATCATCTGACTGCCATGGCTGCCCTGGGAGGTAAGCGCTATTTTTGTTCCCACATAGACGAGAAAAGTGGGGCTGAGAGGGGTCAGACAGTGTCTGGGGCGGCTCTGGAGCACTGGTCTTCCTGACTCTGGGGCCTCGGCTCCATCTCCTGCCCCTTACTAGAAGGTGAGGAGAGCTGGGGGCAGGGGAGCCAGGGCCCAGGGAATGGACAAGAGACCAGAAGCTGAAGAAGGGAAGGGCAGGGGGCTGGGGCTGCTAGATTGAGAGGGGGGGCCTCGGGGAAGCGTTGGAGGAGGAACGGAGGACCGCAGGCTGACCTGTTCTCCAGGACGATATCTGGGAGCCACAGCATGTCCGAAGGCAGGCGGAGGACGCTGATGTTCCCAAATTTGGCCATATCCCATTGGAGCCTGCTGTCCATCCAGCCCTAGAGGCCCAGAGGACGCTTGGAGACCCAGTCCTCCCCTCATCCCTCTTCAGCCTGAGGTGGGCACCCCAGGGAAGGCCCGGGAGGTATGGGGTGCCGAGAAAGGGGACTCGCTTGAGGAAGGATTCATTCCCTTACTCCCATCCCCACCCAGGAAGCCAGACTTTCTCACATGCTCGATCCACACGTTGGTGGTGAGGGTCTCATCAACTTCTTTCTGAAAGGAGAACAGTAGGTTGAGAGCTGAGCTTAGGTCCTGGGTCCTAGGCCTTCATTTATTTATTTATTTAGAAGGTAATTGGGGTGAAGTGACTTGCCCAGGGTCACACAGCTAGGAAGTGTCTGAGGCTGGATTTGAACTCGGGTCCTCATTACTCTGGGGCCTGTGCTCTATCCACTGCACCACCGAGCTGCCTCAAATTAGGCCTGAGGGTGGCGATCCAGGCCCCGGAATGTCTAGACCTCTAGGGGTCCGGGGGTGGCAGATGCTTGTCCAAGAGGTTGTGATGGAAGGGGTCCCAGTCCGCACACAGTCCTCTTTACTTTAAAACATTAGTAACAATAATTGAAGAGGCTGAAGTGGGGAAAAAGGTGATCCCAGAGTCAGGAAGACCTGAGTTCAAGTCTCACTTCTGACACATTTTTGCTGTGTGGCCCTGGGCAAGTCACTTCCCTTCACTGTCCCAGGCAACCCTCTAAATTATAACTGGAAGAGCTGCAATCTACACCAGTAAAGGGAGTTTCTTCCCTGGGAGTTCCCCAGACCAGTAGAGTCAAGCTTAAATAGAAACAGATCCCTGTGGGCTCATAGTGACTTAGAAAATCACAAATTAACACTGTTATCTATGTTTCGTTTTGTATTTTTATCTATCGGGCTCAACGTTTTCCAATTACAGTTTAATCTGGCTTGGGCTGCTGGGCCCAAGTGGACTTATTACCTCTGCCCTAGATTAGTGAAATCACAGGGACAATAATAGACATTTCCATGTGACTTTAATACGTTATGTAATTTCATCCTAATAGACTCAGATTCAGCTCTAGAAGGGACCTCCAGACTTGCCCAAAGTCATGAAGGTGGTGAGTGGCAGTCCTAGAATTCAAATTCGGGGCTTTTGAGAAGAAATCCAGGGAATCTTCCCACTGTACCAAGTTGTCCTTCCTTGCGGCAACTGGGGGAGGGGAGGGAGGTGCTGTTACCCCCATTTTACAGCTGAGGAAACTGAAGCAAACAGAAGTCAAGTGACTTGCCCAGGGTCACCTAGCCAGCCAGTAAGTATTTAAGGTATGATTTGAACCCAGATCTTTCTGACTCCAAGTCCTCTGCTCTCTACCCATTATACCACATTGATTTTTACTTTGGGCACATTAGCTCAGGCACTTAAACAATGTATTGATATAATTTATTTCCATATAACCCACAACTCCCAATATATTCCTCCCTCTACCTTTCCCTCCCTCTCCCAGCCTTTATTTTTTTTTCTTAATTTTAAAATTAATTTATTTTGATTTATCAACAAACACTTCCATATGCTTTTGAGTTTTAAATCCCCCCCCCTACCACCCTCCCCAAGACGGCACGCAATCTGATATAGGCTCTACATACACATTCCTATTAAACATATTTTCACATTAGTGATGTTATAAGTAAGAATTAGAACCAATAGGTCCCTCCCATCCTTTATAACAAGGAAGCAAAATTGACCCACACATCAACTGAGTCTGACAGTGTACTTGCTGTTTCACTCCTATAGGCCCCCACCCCTGGCTGAGCAAGGAAGGAAGGGAGGGAGGGGCATTTCCAGTGTCTCCTTTTTGGGAGATGAAGCCTTTTTTTCTTACAGAATTTCTCGGGTCCCATGATGCCCAGTGAGCTTGCCGACCTCTGCCTGTTCCACCCTCTTCTCTCTTTTTGGAGGCTTGATTTTGATCTTGCTGCTTTATTCGAGGTACTGTTTCAGTTAATTTTAGCGGACTGAGCCAAACTTCATATGATTTATCCAAACCAAGCTCATCTGCCTCCTCTCTTCACCTCTTCCCAAATTTCCTTTTTCTTTCTCCCTCTTCTTTCTTTTCTCAACTCAACTTAGATCAATAAGTGTTTGTTAACCCTTCCTCTCCATGCTCCACGCCTTGGGATACACAGACAAAAATCAACCAGCCCCTGCCCTCAAAAAGCTTCCACTCTACTGGGAGGAAACAGCATATGCGCACTCCAAAGAAATAGGAAGACCCGAGGAGGTGTGGGAAGGGGTGCTGCTGAGGGGGGAGGGAGCTCCTCCTTCTGCTCCTCTGCCCCACCCGACCCAGCTGGGCAGCTGCCCAGGGAACCCTGGGGGCAGAGGGTGTCCCTGTCCCCAGGGGGGCCGGATGACCTTCAGGGCCCCAGAGAGCCTGGGACTCACCAGGGAGATGAGGTTGGAGAGGGTGAGGGCCAGGGAAATGTCCACCTTGTCCCCTTGGCGTTCCACCGGCCGAAGGTTCTTGTTATAACTCTTCTCTTGGAAAAGATAGTGGATGAGCCGCTCCTCCTCATTCAGGGCCCGGGCACCTGGGGAGAGAAGGGGCTGGCTGGGGAGGGGCCTGAGGATCCAGCCAAAGCTGGTGAGGAGCCTGGATGTGCGTTCCACTCTGAAGACTGTCCTGCTGCAAGGAGCTGGATAAAGTGCCTGAAAAGACCCCTAGAGGCTGGGTCCTTGAGCAGGATTTGGGGAGCGGGGTTTACCGAGGAAAGGAGAAGGTCCTGGGTAGGGACGGGGGTGTAGGGAATGGGACCGGGGGCGGGGAGGAAGGACCAAAGTGAAATGTTGGTGAAGAGTGGGCTCCTCCCCTGGATGGGAAGGGGCCGGGGTGAGGGAGTAAGATGGGGATCAGAGAGATGCCAGGTCCTTACCGGAGATGACCAGCGCCGTGAGCAGCCCCAGCCTCAGTGTCCAGCCCTCCATTCTGTCCCCTTGGTCTGCAGCCCTGGATCTGACCCCTACTGTCCTAGACAGGGTGCTGAGTAATGGAGATGGGATTGGGGGCTGGGGGGAAGGGAGGGACAGGTGGTGTTGGGCTGAGGGAGGAGGAGTGGAGGAAATGGAGGGATTATAACAGCAACCGGACACCCCAGTGGGGCTCATAGAGGGCGAGGCAGAGGGAGGAAGGCCAGAGGACCGGGAAGGGGGGAGCCCAGCAGGGGCCACAGCCGATCAAGGAGGCATGAGGGAGTGGCCTGTGGGCGAGCTGGGCAGGGTCATGGAGAAGCGGCCGTCCAGCTGGGGCTGTCACTCATCTGGAAGGGACAGTTGCCTTTCTAGGGGCCCCCCTCTAGGTGGGAGCCCTTTCCTGAGGGGGCCAGCCTGTGCCCTGTCCGGAAGCTGCACACCTAAGATGTTCACACCTAGGAAATTCAACTCAATTCAACAAATATTTATTAAATGCCTATCACGCGCCAGTCCCCCGGGAATCCAGACAAAAAGAAACGACACTTGGCCTTCAGGATCTTCACATGTACAACAGTTCATTGGGAGAGCGGAAGAGGAACATTTGTCCAACACCTGCAGTTTGCTAAGAGACCCCAGACCCCGAATACCTTCTGTAGCTGCTTTTAAAAACAAAATTGATATCGTTTGTTTTTCTAACAACCGCACTTCCCAGTATGATCCTACTTCTTCCTCTCGAAGAATCATCATTTATAACAAAGAATAAAAAAGAAGGGAAACAATTCATCAAAACTAGCCGACACATCCCAAAAGTCTGGTGTTGTAATGTAGTGTTCCATACCCATAGGCCCCCACTCTGCCTCCAGCTCTTCAGAAGAGAAGTTTCTTCTATTTCCAGATGAAGGTTGGTTGTGCTCCCACCCATCTATTCCCCAAAGCTCTCTGGATCTTTACTTGCTGGCTGAATTCCAGGGAAGCTCTTGGGCAGAGGGGGCATTTATTATGGAAATGCTAGTTCTCAGTTATCTCTTCCATATCACCGGGGGCAGGGAGGGAGGGAGTGGGGAGGGCTGTTAGGGGCACAGTGCCCTCATGATCTGGAAAAGCCGCATAAAATTTTTTGGCTCTCCCTTCATACCAGAGAAGAAGTCTGAATTATTATGGTATTAAAAGATAAAATATGTTGGTCATACAATACTATACAGGTATTTTATGCATTTCCGAGTTTCTAAACTTTTTCTGTGTTGTCTGCTGGCCTTCACATGTCATCTGTGGCTTCCACAAAACTCCTCCCAAATTCCCATTTAATTTCTTACGCCAACCCGCAATATATGGAAACCACGATGGGGAAAGTCGCAATGTGGAGGGGATAACCGTCCGTGTCTCTACCGCACGCCCCCATTAAACCAAATCTGCTGATAAATAACTACATTATCCTGATCCCTGCTTCCCCCCACTGCTAGCTAAGGGGTGCATGAGCTGCAGCGTCCTCCTCGGGGCCAGTCACAGGGCACCCCAACCATCAAACATCATCTGGAGCTGGGAAGATGGGGGAGGGGGGCTCCCCTGAGGCCCTGAATCCCTGGCCCCTCCTTAGGGGTCTTCAACTCCAAGAGACTTCTCTCTGCTTGTCCTCTTCACCCTGCTATCTCCATGCAGTAGGGCCAAGCCCCTGTGCATTCCCAGAGGGGCCTCTAGACCGAGTCCTTCCCAACTATGTTGGGGAACCAGCTCTGAAGGCCCTCAAGGCCTGGGCCAAAAGGCCAGGGAGGCTCTGAGTGAGGGTGGCTGGCTCCAATCCGATCATGGTGACAAAGACACTAGCCGGCCCCCCACGACTGCCCTGACTTGGGCCTGGAAGAGTCCCCTCGGAGTCCTGGAGCCCAGGTCAGCCAGGATCTGTTCAGGGAAAAGGGCAGGTCAGCAAGGCAGAGATGTGTCCGCTCTCCCAGCATCCTCCTCCTTCTTCCTCTTTTGCCCCCCTTTTCTGGGAGGGGCCTCCAGTGTCAGTTAGGGGGTCTTCAGTGGGGTGACTACAGCCTGTTCTCTGTGTGTGGGGGGCAGGCCTGGCTTACACCAGGGAAGGGAAGACCCTTTTTCCCCTTGGCTTCCCCCCAGGCCTCCCTGCCTCTGGCCTTTTCTGAACCGGGTCAGGTTGTGTGGGGCAAGGTGACAAGCCTGGGGCCTGAGGGGCTCTGTCCCTACCTCCTGAAAGTCCATAGCCAGCTGGTCAGGGGGCACTTGTAGGATCCAGGCATGAGCTTCTTGAAGGGCAGCCAGCTTCTGGCCCAGAGCATCCAGCCCAGGGCAGCCTGGAGGGAGGGGGACGACACCCCAGTTTACAAAGGACTTTAGAACCACTGTTTCCCCTGGCCCTCATGACCTCCAGTATCCACATACGCTAAGCATTTAGGGCCAAAAGGGACTTTCGAGGTGATTTAGAGCAATCCCTTCATTTTACAAATGGGGAAACTGAGGCCCAGAGAGGCCCATAGCATCAGAAATCTAGAACTGGGACTTCAGAGGCCCCTAAGTCCAGCCGTCTCATTTTGCTTCCCCACCCCCTCATTCAGCTATTTGCAAAAATCCTGCCCTGCTTTCCTTTCTAATAATAACTTACATTTCTTTTTAAAAGTTTACAGAGTGTTTTTCTTCCTACAACCTTCTGAGCTAGATGGTGCCCATTTCACAGTTAAGGAAGCTGAGGCTCAGGGGGCTTAAGAAGGAGCCTACCCAGGGTAGGCGATTAGCAGAGGTAAGGTTCCAACCCAAGGCTCTTCCTGACTTCGTGCCTCTTTCCCTTCTCTCCTCTTACTCCCTTTGGGGTTCCTGCTGGAAAGGGACCTACGGTAGACAGCCTTGGGGCAATGCTGGATTTGAGGGGGACAGGTGAGGGCCTGACTCATTACCTTTCACTTCTGCCTCCTGCTCCTGCCTCCCCTGGGGTAGGGGAGCGTCTCCTTGGGGAGCTGAGGAGGAAGGAAACAGTGAGAAATTCGTTCCAAAGTGGGGGAATGAGGATGTTGGGAGGGAGACAGAGAGAGAGAGAGAGAGAGAGAGAGAGAGAGAGAGAGAGAGAGAGAGAGAGAGAGAGAGAGAGAGAGAGAGAGAGAGAGAGAGAGAGAGAGAGAGAGAGAGAGAGAGAGAGAGAGAGAGAGAGAAGGTGGCAGCTCACAGGGGGAGGAGAGGGGGGAAAGCATCCTCAGTCGTATCAGGGGTGTTGGCACCACAAACCATGCCCAAGGCAAGAGGCAGGGAAGTTATTCTGAGGAGGGAATGAGGTGCTTATCACCCCATATTGGGGAGACAAGGACCCTGAGACACTGTGTCTAGGCCACTGCTAGGGAAGCTGCTGAAAGGGGAAAAGATGGGGCAGATGGGGAAGAAGTTCACCGCATCACAGTGCAAGACAGAAAGCATTGCCAGGGCCCTGAGGGAAAGTCACTGTGTCCTTGCCTTCGGTAAGGCTCTGGTCACAGGTTAATATGCGGGGTGTCAGGCAAAACTGAGGATCTCTAAGAAGGATGAAGTCTCGGGAAAGAGCAAAGGGCCAGCAACTGGAGAGGATCGAGGTACCTGTGCCCTGCCCTCGCCGTGGAGCTCGGGGAGGAAGCCAGGAATGTTGCAGAAGCCCTAGGCCAAGCTGAGGCAGCGCTCGCGCAAGACGAAGCAGACCCAAGTGGCGGGAGAAGAAGTCCTGAGCATCTCTGAGTAGGCTCAGCAGAGTTTGGACCAGAGACCGCAGCTCTGGGGAAGGGGAACAGAATGGGGCAGGGACAGGTTGGGAGGAGGGATTCCAAAGTCCCCCCTCCCGACATAGCCACAGCGCCCCGCCCCGCCTCCCCTAATCTCTCCTGCAGCCACCTCCCCCGAGCGTCAAGGAGAAGCTGACCACATCTCCTCTTGTGCAGCTGACATTTCTTCTGGGACAGGCGGGTACAGGCGCCGGATCCCCGAGGCACGGGGCAGGAGCGCTCGTAGAAGGCGCAGAGGTGGGCGAACTCTGCAGAAGGGTCTTCCTGGGCATCCAGGGCCAAAAACTCCCGGCAGCTGGGCTCCCGACTGGAAGGAGGCGCTGCAGAAGACAGAACTAGATTGGCCGAAAGTTCTTTCTCTGAACCAACCTCTCAGTGCTGTTCAACCAATCAGTCGCTCAAGCAGTTTTCATTAACTGCCCTAGGAAGAGAGATAAAAGCGGGACAGTCCCTGCCCTCAAGAAGCTTATGTTCTATTTGAAGAGGCAACATGTTTGTAAATACATCCAAGGAGTCTGTGAATCCTGTGTTCAAATCCTGCCTCAGACATTTCTTAGCTGAGTGACTCTGGACAAATCACTTAACCTCTCTGTGGTCAGTTTCCTCAGCTGTAAAATGTGAACTCAGTGGTCTCTAAGGTCCATTCCCCTCTACATCCATGATCCTACAAGAGAGGAAGAGAGTCAGTCTGAAAGAAATAGAGACACGGGAGAGATTGAGATTTGCCCAGGAGCTGTGGAGTGGGACCAGAGCCTGAGTTTGAATTTCTAACCTAGAACCAGGATCATTTTTGTCTGTGGATCCCCAGTTGCTAGCATAGAGCCTGGCACATAGTAGGTGCTTAATGCCTGCTTGTTGAATGGACCAATAGAATGTAAATTTAAGGGCAGAAATTGTTATATTGTGTCTTTGTATCTCCAGTTCCTAACACAGAGCCTGGCACATAGTAGGTGCTCAATATCTGCTTGTTGAATGGACGGATAGAATGTGAGTTTATGGTTTCATTTTAGTCTCTGCATTGCCAGCACCAGCATAATACCTTAGCACATAGTAGGTGCTTAATAAATGTTTGCTGAATTTGAGGGTTTTTTCCTCTGTGCCCTAATTCCTGGTAGCATGCAAAGCAAAAGGTGGAGGAAAAAACCCAACCCAAAGCAAACCAAAGTAAGGCTGATGAAGATGTAGGGGGAGAGGTCGCTTACCACTCATCTGCTGGCGGATCCAGTCCCTGAAGGCTGCCACGCGGGTGTATACCCCGGGTTTGCCCGGCTCTCCACAGCCATCCCCCCAGGAAGTGATACCATAGAGGACCTCCCTCAGAGGGGGCCCAGCCACTGAGCATGTCAGAGGCCCCCCTGAGTCACCCTGTGAGGACATGGAAAGGAGGAGGAGCTGGTACCCCTGGGACACATGTTGTCCCTCCTGCACCCTGATGGTTGAAAAGGGACAGTTATGGAGAATGGGATGGGGGGCAGGAGATCTGGGGTGTTCTAGTCTCAGTCCTCCACCAACTGTGCAAGCTCAGGCAAATCATCCCCCTCTCTGGGCCACCCTGTAAAATAAGGGGCCAGGATCAGATGGCCTCCAAGTTCTTTCACACTTGGTGACTTACAAGGGGAGAGGGTAGGGGGGTTGCTGAGACTTAATCGCATCCCTGCTTTGCCCCTTGCCCATGTTCATGGAGTCATAAAATCTGGAGTTTAATGCTGAAAGGGACCTCAGAAGCCCCCGGCCCATCCCCTCAGTTTATGGAAAAGGGCATCAAGGTCCACGGTGGGTAAGGGACTGGCCCAAGGTCATTCAGGTAGTATCTAAGGTGGAATCTGAACCCAGGGCTTCCAACCACAAATCCAGTGCTCTTTCCATTCTAGGCAGCTGTCCCCACAAAGGAGAAGCCATGTTGCTCTCACTTTTGGCAGGGTGCTATCTCTAATAGGCTCCCTTCCTCCTACCTGGCAGGAGTCCACTCCTCCAGACAGATAGCCCGCACAGAGCATGGTGCTAGGGTGAAGTGCTGACCCCAGAGCTGTCCGGCAAGTGTCCAAGCTGAGCAAGGGCACCCTGGCCTCCCTCACGGCCTTAGCGGCAGGTCCATCTGAGAGGGAATGACAGGACACCTCAGGGCATAGAGCTCTTGGGACACCCTGGGCTCCATCCCCTGTGACCCTTTCCTCCATCTGCCCATATATCCACCCGCTCCCATCTCCCTTCCTACTGGGGGCTGTGTGTATGTGTGAACTAGACAGCCACCTACAACCCCTCTAGCTCAAAGCCCCCATCTGTCACACCTTCATAGACAGCTCCCCAGCCAGCAATGGAGCAGAGGGTGCCTGCTGGAGGCTCTCTGGGCTCCTCAGGTAGACAAATAGGCCATGCCCTCTCAGATGGTGGCACTGGTACCCACAGCTCCACCAAAGCCACGTCATTCTGGAAGGTCTGGGGATCAAACTATAGGAAGAAGGGAGGGGGGTATGGGAAGTCAGAGCTCTGGGGAGCCCAGGGGCCAGGAGCAGTTTGGAGAAAGGGATGAGGAGGGGCTCTGGAATCTTACCTTGGGGTGGGGCAGAATGCGGTTAACAGGGATCCCCTCCTCCTGCCTCTCCCCAGGGGGACTGTTCAGGGTCACTGTCCACAGGAGCTCATTCTGAAGGCTGTTGAGGGACACAGGATATGTGGTCACCAGGGAGGGGGAAAGAAGAGGCTACTGACTCTCCTGGTCCCTGCTTAAGTCTCAGGAGGGGGATTCACACACAGGCTTCTAGATTTAGAGTTGGAAGGGAACTCAAGAGTACATCCAGTCCAATGCCCATTTTACAGATGAGAACACTGAGGTCAAATAAAGCTAAGGAGTAGTTGACAGAAGTGAGATTTGAACTCCACACCTCACTCTAACTCATGTTTTTCTACTGTACCACATCTGGGTTGGCAATAATATTAATAGTCACCATTTATAGAGGAGTTTAAGTGCCTTAACAATAGTATCCCGTTTTATCCTCATAACAACCCAGGGAGGTAGGTGCTGTTATTATCCCCATTTCATAGATGAAAAAACTGAGGCAGACAAAATGCCTGTCAAGGGTCACACAGCTGGTCAGGGTCTGAGGCCATATTTGAAGTTCAGGGCTTCCTGCCTCCATGGCCAAGGCCCTATCCATTGTGCCACCCAGACTTGTTTAATCAAATTTAGGTATTTTCTCTCTTTTTCCTTTGGAGATGGGATAGGGGTGGGTGGGAAGGAGGAGGAGGAGGAAGAGGAAGAGGAAGAGGAGGAAAAATGGTAAGGAAACATGAAGACCTGAGGCCCTGGAGGGTTTGTGCGTTGACTTTCTTTCTTTCTTTCTTTCTTTCTTTCTTTCTTTCTTTCTTTCTTTCTTTCTTTCTTTCTTTCTTTCTTTCTTTCTTTGTCTTCCTTCCTCTCTCTCTCTCTCTCTCTCTCTCTTTCTCTCTCTCTCTCTCTCCCTCTCTCCTTCCTTCCTTCCTTCCTTCCTTCCTTCCTTCCTTCCTTCCTCCCTCCCTCCCTCTGTTCTTCTACCTGTCTGTTTATTGTTTGTTTTTGGTGTGGACCTGTGACTTTATTGGTGTAGGGAACTTCCATGGAGGAAATCCCTTCTACTAATGCAGGCGAGTGACTCTTATTCAATGTATAGGCCTAGAGAATTGGGGAATTGACTGGTGCACTTAGAATGATGCGTCCAGTCTCATACAACTGGTATGTGTTGGAAAAGGTACTGGAACCCAGGTCTCTCTGAGTTCCAGGCAGGCTCTCCATAGCACTTAATATATATTATCCAAGTTGACCCTCCATCTGGGAGGTAGGGACTTTAGCCATCATTATCCCCAGTTTACAGCCAAGGAAACGGGCTCAGAGAAGAGTGACTTGGCCAAGGTCACAAAGCTTGTAAGCTCCAGAGGTGGACGCCAAACCAAGGTCCTTCTTGACTGCCTTCTATCCACCCTTCCCTCAGCCTCTCTGAGGCCCAGCTAGCTCTAAATCTTGATGCTATGAACTACATAGGTCATCCCCAGAACCACCTCCCCTTCCCCAGGCTTGGCTTTTGGATGGCCTTAGGGATACTTCTCTCATCCACCAGGGGGCAGCAGAGACCACTGTCTGGTTGAGGCTGTAGCAACACTCCTTTTGAGCCCTTGACAACTGGAGGTGGGGGATTTGGGGCAGTGGGGTTTGGATGCCTGTTCCTATACTCCCCGCCCCCCACTCCCTTCCAGGGAACACACCTTGCAAAGCAGTGAGCAGCAGTGAGGACCCAAGCATCCTCGACTAGGACACCTCCACACATGGGCTGCCCATTCATCCTCAGTGACACCAGCCATGGCCAGGAGCCTAGGGATGCTGCCTTGCCCCCCACAATTCTGCCCCGGGCCCATGTCACATTGGCAGTTCCACGGCTCTGAAGGCCACAAGTCACTGGCAGGAAAAGAAGGACAGTCAGGACGGGGCTCCAACCCTGTGGGCATTGCCTGGGCTTCCCACATTCCCCAGCATCTGGCCATCCTACCCTCCAGCCTTCTCCCCATCCCTGCAGCCTTTACCCAACTTCTGTTGTCCAGGAACGGTGTGCACATGGGGCTGCTGGCTCCAAAGTCCTGGGGAGGTCAAAGGGACAGGACCACAATACTTACCACTGACCAGCACACATCCCCATCCCAGGATCCCAGAATCTCAGAGCTAGAAGGGGCCTCCAAAGTCCCCTGGTCCAACCCATTCCTGAGCAGGAATCCTCTCTGTACCACCCCTGATGAATGGTCATCCACTCTCCCACAGGGACTCTGACCTTGTCCGTGGGCTAACTGAAGGGGGAAGGGGACCTAAGGAAGTGCTAGACACAGGATCCCTACAGCCTAAGGGAGGGTCCAGTCAGGAAGGAGTGGGGGGCTGAGGTGGTAGAGGGCTAGTCAAGAGCTAGGCTGGACTCTTGTTCAGCCTTGAACGGAAAGATAGGAGGGAACAGAAGAGGGGAAAAACAGGGTTATGAGGGGACCGTGGGGGAGGAACATTGAGCACCTCCAGGAGAAAGGATGAGCTAGGTCTAAGCAAGGGTTCCTGCCCTACCACCTCGGTGCTCACCAGGACAAGCTGAGGTGTGGTTAACACAAGCCTGGCACTCCAGAAGCCTGCGTCTGTATTCCAACGTCTCCCTCTCTACAGCCAGTGAGGCCTTTCTCTGGATAGCCTTCAGCAAGAGAGTCCCCTGTTCAGACAGAGCTGTGGAAACAGAGGGCTGGTCACCAGATCAGGAGATCTGTGCCTGGGTACTCAGACCTGCACCTTATCTTACAGATACAGAAACTCAGTGAAAGATAGGGGCTAGACGTGTGCCCAAGGTACGAAGGTAACTAACGTCAGACCTGGCTTTGAAGGAGAAATCCAGGGTGCTAGCTCTAAATCTATGATCCTGTGGTCTGTAACTAAGACAGAGTGATGAGGGCTTTGCCCCAGGGCATCAAAGTTTGGAGGATGAAGACCCAATGTAGAGTCTTTCAAGCAGTGTAGGAACTACTGAGCTTAGCACCCACCCAGCAAGAATGACTAATTAAAATAGGAAGCAGTGTCTGGGTGGGATCCCCCATTCTATGCCCTGGTATGTCTGCTCATGGGCACACATTATCTCCTGGGGTCTCATTTATCACTATGACTTACTCTGTCTCAAAAAGTGGATTTGGGGTGAATATCATCTTAGTGGTCCCAGGTACCAAAGTGTCTAGTTATGTCCCACCTGTCCCTACTGCCCTTGGCCTTTTCCACCCGAGAAAAGCTAAAGCTAAGCTTAAGGCCGCAGGGCTCCCCCAAATAGGAATGGAGCAGATGCATGAGAGGGCACTGGGCCATTAAGATGCCTCCCTCCCCCCTCCTCCCATAACCTCAATTTCTCAATTAACTCCCTCCTTACTGACTTCCAACCTTTCCCCCTAACCTCAAAATTCCTGTCCTAATCTCCAACTTGGGCAGCTGGGTGGTGCAGTGGATAGATAGAGTGCCAGGCCTGGAATCTGAATTCATATCTGGCCTCAGACACTTATGAGTTGTGTGATCTTGGGCAAGTCATTTAACCCTATTTGCCTCAGTTTTCTCATCTATAAAATGAGCCAGAGAAGGACACAGCAAACCACTCCAGTATCTTTGCCAAGAAAACCCCAAATGCGGTCACGAAGGGTTGGATGTAACAGAAAAAATGACTGAACAACAACATTTCTGACTCTTCCTCAGCCCCTAAAGTGTCCCCCTAACCTTCACACTCATCCCTAATTCCCATTTGGCTTCGTAAACCTTAATCTCCCCTCTAGTTTTACTCCTCCCTACCCCCCCTTCTAAACTCCACACTTCTGCCTACTCCCCCCCCCACTCCTTACCCCCCTCTCCTAACTCCCCTCCCTCCCATGCTCAGGATGCCCAGGGAACAGACTCACCTTGAAGTGTGGTCCTGTCCAGGCACTCCAGCCTGGGGGCTGCAGCCTCCACATCCCCAATGCCCCAGGGGGACAGGAGGCTCAGAAGCCCCAGCACCAAGGGCAGCATCGTACCCTGAGGGCTTGGGGAGAACCAGACTGAGCAGCCCCCCAGTCTCCTAAGGCCCCCAGCCCCCCTCCCTGGGTTCCCAGTTCTTTCTTCTCCCTTTGTTATGGTGACCCTCAGTCTTTCGGTGCCTGGTGCCTTCGGCCTCAGACCTCTAGCCACTCTGTCTGTCTCTCCCTGGCTAGGCTCTCCTGCCAAGCCCTGGCTTAGCAGGGACAGGACAGATGAGGTGAGCTAGAAGGGGTGGGATAGGGTGGCTGAGGGACTGTTGGACAAACCCTCCTCTGGTGGGCCCCGGTGTCCAGCTTAGGGTCACAATCGAACAGAGCCTTCGAAGATGCCAGCCGGAGGGAAGGGAGTGGGTGGGGATGGGCCTCTCCCTTTCCCTGGGTCCTCTCTCCCCCCAGTCTCAGTCTTTGAAGTCCTGTCCTCAGGGCTCTTTGTGAAAAGGGCCCTTGTTTCCCCAGGCCCATCAAAGGGGGCATCAAAGGGGGAAAAGCTGGGCTAACGGTTGGGCTGGTGGCCCTGGAAGTGAGTGGGAGGGACAGGCCAGACCGCCAGGAGCAGCCCATAGAGGCCTCTTGGAGGGGGGGTTGGGGGGAGGAGACCCAGGCCCTCCCCGACCGTCCACTGCTTGGGGCTTATGTCAAGGAGATTTGCTCTGTGACCCAGGCCGTCCTAGGGGCTCCCAGGCAGCCTCTCCATGCCTGGTTTGAGTGCCTAAAGCCAGTTCTGGAATTTGGCCTCAGAGGTCTTGGGTTCAAGTTCTGACTCAGTTGTGTGACTTTGGACAAGGCCCTTCTGCTCTCTGGGTTTCAGTGGCCTCTGATGTCCAATCGGGAGATTTGATTTTGATGATTTCTGAGGTCCCTTTGAGCACTGGATCCCCATATTCTGGGTCCCCTGCCTGGGCCCCAAGAGCTCCCAGGCCTAATTGCTTTGGGGCCCCTTCCCAGACAATTGTTACCACTTCAAAGGGTAACATCAAAGAGCTGTAATTAGCGCAGTAATTACTGGAGGGGAAGGGAGGCCAGAAGAGGGTGCTGGCAGCAGGTCTGGGGACTGGAGGGGGAGATCGGGAGATGAAAGCCTCTGGGAAGGACCTGAGCTGGCAGAGGGGACTGCCGCACTCCCAGACGGTACTTCCTGTCCCCTCTCCCTACGCGACTGTCCCTCCTTCATTGGGAGGTCCGGTTTCTCTCCCAGGGAACAGCTCAGCCCCACCGGAAGGCCTCAAAGACCAGTGGACAGTGCCTGGGAGTCGGGTAGGACAGGCAAGCCCCAAAGCTGCCGGGGCCTGGACTTGGGGGGCTCCCTCACTCACTGGGCTTTGGAAAGAGATGAAGAAAAGAAAGGCCAAGATATAAGCACTAGCAAGGGGGTGTTGGAGTCAGGAGGACCTGAGTTCTGGTTTTACCTTGGACAGATACGGCTTGTGATTGTGGGCAAGACAATGGACTTCCAAGGGCTCCCAGCCAGGTCTCTAAGACTGTAAATGACAGAGCTCCAAGTAGTGCTAAAATCATAGCTCTTGTCTTCCCCAAAATCCTTCGCTTGGAGAGAGGATGACAGTAGCTGACATTTACATGAACCAGGCCTTAAAGTTTGCAAAGCCCTTTACATACATCTGTAATTCAAGGACTGGCCAAAAAGGCCCAGTCCTTGAAGTATCTTTAGCTATACTCTGCCTGATGCCAGTCCATGTGGAATTTTGGGGAGCCATTTTGGTCAAGATGAAAGTCTTCTAATGGACTGAGAAGTTGGAAAGACCAGACTGGAGTGGCTCAGCAGGAAATGAGTGACATAGAAGAGGTGCCACCCACCAATTCGTCTGCCTCTTCCCTGGCAGCTTGTGGGTGAGGAGGGCAATTCTGAGTAGCCAGGCAGGGGAGAGGCAGCTGGTTACACTCCTCTACCTGGCCACCACATGGGTGGGAGCACATGGTACCTCTGTTTCTTTTATGTTTGCTCTTCTCTGATTTCAGGTGAATACACGTCCCCAGGTGAGAGTATCCAGGCAACTTTGTGAGTTCCAGAGCTGCAGAGGTCCCACCAGAAAGTCAAGTGGACAGTAGAGTGTGCCTGAGCAGGTCACCACAGGATGCCCAGGCAGTGACCTTGTGGCATTGCAAGGAAGAGAGTACCAGCATCAGATGAAAAGTGGCCTGGCTCAGAAATGCATTGACCCATCCATGCCCAAAGGCAGGCCTTTGCAAACTTCTTGAGGTGTCCTCAAAGAGAGAAGAGGAGGTCCAGGGTCAGGACACGAGAAGCACCAAGTTGCCCTCACTAACTTTGTATTTTCAATTTTAACCTGCTCTCACCTTATTTATGCTGGAGGAGAGTGTGCTTTCTGGATTGTGGAGAATTTATTCTAGCTGTACCTTCTCAGTAAATCACTTTTCTAAAAGCTAATTTATTTCAGCCAGCTTATTGATAATGCAGAGCACACTGATAGGGGCTGATGATCAGCAGTACTAGAAACCCCAGTCCCTCGGGGCTGTCCCCCAAACCCTGAGGAAAGTAGTCAGCTGCCCTTTGGGGACATAGTCCATCAATGGGAGAGAGTGGATTGGGAGAGTGAGCCCTGGAGGAAGTGATGCATAATGAAATATAAAATATATACAAAGATAATTTTAGGGCGAGGACACCAGCAACTAGGAATGGATGAATGAATAGCACGTTCATGAAGGGCTTAATATGTGCTAAGCACTGGGGGCTGAACTCCCAGAGCATCCCCGACTAGTGGCTATTCCTCCTTGCAAAGTCTTTCTTAAAGCCTGTCTTTGCCTCTGGAAGGCTCTGGGAACTGGCTTGGTGGGCCATCCCCTAAGGGCAGCATTTTCAGCGCAGCCTAACTTTAGATGCTAAACAGGATTGAACATGTTTCAAGCCCACAGGAAGCAGGAGGAGCTTCAGCTGGTCTAGGGCTCCAGAGCCCACATCTTCAGAATGATGGTCAAGAAAAGGAAGAGGAGGCAGAGGCGGGAGAGATGCCTCGGGGGTGCTTAGGACTGCCCGGATCACACCACTAGATGGTGCAATAGAGCAGGTAAAGCCTGTTATTAAGGGATGGGAGACGCTGACCGCTCATTTCTACAGCCTTCTAGGGTACAACGCCCACTTGGGCGAGCTGTGCCCCATCTTACGAATGGGGAGACAAAGGAAAAGTTCATCTGGTCGCAGAATCTAGACACATGTAGAGATGGATGTCCAGCCTCCTTGTCTCCCAAGTGGGAATTGGATATCGACCTCGATTATTTCTGATTTTTTTTTTCATCTGCATTAGTTCAGTGTTTCTGGGGCCAGATGGTGGGGAGGTCAGGGGTCCATAATGGTATCAAATGGGAGCAGGGACTGGAGAATGGGAGACTCAGGAGCAAGTCTTATTTGTTTATTTTTTACAAAGATTCTGGCATAATTTGCCATTTCCCTCTCCAGTTCATTTTTACAGATGAGGAAACTGAGGCAAACAAGATTAAATGATTTGCCATGTGTCTGAGGCTGGATTTGAACTCAGGAACAGGCATCTTCCTGACTCTACGTCCAGCACTCTATCCATTGCACCACCTAGCTGCCCTCCTAGGGCTAACAGAATGTTGGGCTTGGAAGGTGCTTTAGTGGTCATTTGACTGAGGGATTGAGGCTTAGAGTCTTAACTGATCCTGGCTCTGGATTTGGTTCTAATGTAGGGGTAGAAGCTGATTAAACTAATCAGTCAATCAACCTAGCCACTTAGCCCAGCTACCTTCATCAGTGAGAATGCATTTTGGTGGAATCAGTTAATCAAAAGTATGAACTAGGTGTCCATAAGGCCTGGGCATCTCCCCCGGTGCAACAGGAAGTCTTGAGAATTGATTGAGGGACCTGGTCATCCTCTGTGGGGCTTGCATAAAGCCAAGAGTCTGGAACTGAAGGTTTGAGCATCTTGGCCTCCAGAATTGATTGGTGGGGGAAGAGAGCATCTCCACCCTGATCTCCTTTGTTCCCACCCTCATCGTCTGGAGGAAAAACTTCTTGGATGCCAGAAGACCAGAGGATTTGAATTTTTCATCAGTGTCTTATCAGGGATCCTGGGGCAGCAACAGTTCTAACTCCAAACCAGATGTCTATATGGGGAGTTAAGGGCAGACTGGATGTGAAATATGGAACCAAGGTTCTACAAGGAGCTCAGGGGGGAAAATCTACACCATGATAAATAGAATCTTCTCGGAGATTCCAGCAAAAAGACTTCCAGGAGCCATGAACTACCTTCTCCACATGGACTTTTTCCAGGATTCTATGCATTGGTGGGATAGCGTGGACCTTGTGAAATACTCAGGCAGATAGGTCTGGAGGGAAAGTGAAATATTTGTTCCACAGTCCTTCAGGGTTCCTTTAGCTTGCAGGAAAGAATAATAGGTCCGACGGGCTGTGTCTTGTGTTTTAGGGACTTGTTAATGCGCTTCTGAAACTTGGGGGCCCGGGATATTTCTTTTGTGTAGAAGAAATAAAAAGCTGTCCTGTACTTGACATGTGCTTTGTACAGTAAGTATCTCTTCCAGAAAGTACCTTCTTAAGGGAAGGCCCTAGACACGGGCACACCTAAGCTTTGTTGAAGAGATTTTTCTCTGGAACTCCAGGGTAGGGGCATAATAAGCCTAGAGAGTGATAGCCTCTCTTTGAGAACAGGCTCTCCCAGGATTGCACTCAGTCCACGTGAATCCAGTTTGAATAACTCTTTGTGAGGGGGCATCTTCTAGGCCATTGGCAATATCTGTACAACCTAGAAATGAAAATCTTTGTCGATCTTTCAAAACCACATCATCCCCGACGCCCAAAAGAAAGTACATTTTAAAAGCACAATAGAAGAAGCTGTTGATTTACTTCCTTGACTTTAGTATTATTATTTGTGCAGAATTAATTTTCCCAAAGTCAGTCAACCAAGATTGTTATACTGAAGTTCAGAAGCAAAGGAGAGATCTGTGGAATGTTATTCTTCATAATGATGGTGCAGCAGCAGC